ACATGTTGAACTGTGGCACTTCCGGTTTTGCAAAAATGTTCCAATTTATATTTATGCACATCGTCTCCTATATAGAAGGTCTATGAAATTTGAAACGTACCGGCAACTACTGCAGTCTAAGCTCAGGAAGGTGTGGACGAAACGGAAAAAAAAAAAAAAAAAAAAAAAAAAAAAAAAAAAAAAAAAAAGAATTGACATTTCGATAACAAACTGGGACTTTGCTGAAAGCAAAGTCCCACAAAAAAAAAAAAAAAAAAGAATTGACATTTCGATAACAAACTGGGACTTTGCTGAAAGCAAAGTCCCACAATTATGTCAATAAAACTGCATTGGAACCAGAAAAATATCCGTTTGAGCAGTATAAAAAGGCTTAATGTTAGCAAATATGCTGATGGTTTACTTGTCATCTACCAACCAACCAGCTAAGATACTTTGGACATGATTTGTTCTCCTGTCCAGGGAGGAATATTCTCTCTGAAACTGGAGAAAGTGTTAATGAAATGTGTAACAGAAATGGAAGAGAAACAGATTTCTATTTCCTGTTTTAGGTCCTCTTTATGAAGGTTTATGTGATAAATATTAAACTCCCTTTATCAATATCTAATCACATCAATATTTTAGCAATATTGTGTCTTACTTTAATTGTTTTAAAAGATTTATAAAAGTATATATTTTTCGCATTCATTCTACTTGATTCTTAAAAGTAACCATTGTCAAATATTTTATATTATTAATAATGGTATTTCTTGTTAAAAATTGATGATTATAACAATTCGTACAATGTATTGTATATTATCCTATTGTAAAATGGTTCTTTTGTCTTAGCACGAAACGTAATGAATTATTAGCAATTTCTATAGAACTTGGTATCAGTGGATGGTTATAACCAAGTTGTTATTCTTCATGTTGAAAAATGTCGAAGGTCGTTATACTGTTACTTACCATTGTTGAAATAATTGTCTCAGAGGGTGATTATACTGATATTGATCATTGAACAGATAATGGTCATAAATCATGATTTTACTTGTTAAAATAGAACTTAGTATCAAAGGATGGTTATAATCAAATTGTTATTTACCATTGATGAAATAGAACTTGAAATCAGAGAACTATACTGTTACTTACCCTAGTTGAAATAGAATGTATCACAGAATGGTTATAAACTATACTGTTACTATCCTTGATGAAATAAAACGTATCAGAGAATGGTTATAAACTATACAGTTACTTACCATACTTAAAATAGAACTTATCAGAGATTGGCTATAAACTATACTGTTACTTACCATACTTAAAATAGAACTTATCAGAGAATGGTTATAAACTATACAGTTACTTACCCTAGTTGAAATAGAACTTATCAGAGAATGTTTATAAACTATACTGTTACTTACCCTAGTTGAAATAGAACGTATCAGAGAATGGTTATAAACTATACTGTTACTTACCCTAGTTGAAATAGAATGTATCACAGAATGGTTATAAACTATACTGTTACTTACCCTAGTTGAAATAGAACTTATCAGCGAATGGTTATAAACTATACAGTTACTTACCATACTTAAAATAGAACTTATCAGAGAATGGTTATAAACTATACTGTTACTTACCATAGTTAAAATAGAACTTATCAGAGAATGGTTATAATCTATACAGTTACTTACCATACTTAAAATAGAACGTATCAGAGAATGGTTATAAACTATACTGTTACTTACCATACTTAAAATAGAACTTATCAGAGAATGGTTATAAACTATACTGTTACTTACCCTAGTTGAAATAGAACTTATCAGAGAATGGTTATAAACTACACAGTTACTTACTGTTACGGCAGAATCGTCATTTTCTTTTGTTTAATTGCATTTTTGTGTCTTAAAAATTACTTGTTTATATATGGCCTGATTTCTAAGGTTTTATTGTAGCTAGGTCGCAGATCACATGTCAAAGGTCAAATTGTGCACACTGCCTTGAGCTAGTTTTTCTTGCCGCCATCTTAGGAAGTTAGACTAAACTTTTTGATATTTTTATTTTCGACCATAGTTCAGCACAAGTTGTAAGTTTTCAATTTATTTATGTATATTCTAATAAGGAATTCTTTAATTATGTTCTGTAGACATTTTCTGTTGGATATCATGTGTAATTATTGAGAATTTGCTCTCAAATGTACTTCAAAGGAATTTTCAATTTTACTGACAGTAGTCCAAAGGCATCCGTTTCATTACCACGTGCATCGCTTGAATTTCTGAAGTCTTAAGTTGTCTGTAAGAACTATTAATTTTAAGATAAGGTAACAATTTCATTATGTTATCATGTGTATATTGTTGCCAGAAGTTAAGACTGTCTATTAGTGTTGACATTTTGCAAATTGGTATATGTTAGTTCAGATTCTGTATTTTGCTACGAATGCCTGTGGATTCTTATTATTGTGAGTTGTGTCTTATGATTGTCATTTTTATATTTTGTAGCAAAACCATTCAATTCAAGTAAGGACATTCAGTTCAAGTTAAGACATTCAACTTATGTTCAACCATTGAATGTGTATTCCTTAGGGAACTATGTAATTATGTGGATACTTGTTTATTAGTAAATGGGATATGGTTTATGTATGTTGAAACTTCCTAATATGCTGAAATGACCCTTTGGTGGTACTATGTTCGTTGTTACCTCGATACCTTTAGAATGACCCTTTGGTGGTACTCCTTTCTTGTTACGTCGATACTTATTGAGTTGACATGTGTTTAATAACACATAATAGGCCTACATACTGAAATATGTTGAAGAACAATGTATATTGCTGAAATGAGTATTATGAAAACATATATTGATTGTACTGAACTGTGCTTGTGAACATTTTCTTGATTAAATATTTTACCGGTACGTTTGGTCTTAGCATTAACTATGCTGATACGTCGATGATGTGTTGGTGCGTCACTTGGTCTACGACGGCCCCCACATATTAGTTTTGAACTTGAGGTTGCTAAGACCAGAACTTTGTAAACTTTATAAAGCTGCGGGAATAATAACTTTTACTTGAAATGATATATGTGATCTGTTAATCATGGCATCAGCACTTGTGCCAGAAATTGAGGTTCTGAATGAAGGACAAGATCCAGTTGGGACTAATACTGTAAAGTAAATGCAAACTGGAGAGAAAAATGCTGCATTTATTCCTATAGCTTCAGACAGAAATCTAAATAATGCATTGACAACATTGCAAGAGAAGAAACAAACTACATCGAAAACTAACCACAAAGCAGAACTCATAGCCAATTTAAGAACACTTAAAGAGAGTCAAATACTTAGAAAACAACAATTATTGTTGGAATTAAAAAGGGAACAATTAACCTTAGAAATTGAACTTTCTATGTGTGAAAATGGAAGTGCTCATCCTCAATTTGAAACATCTACCCCTCATCAAAGAAGGCGTAACGTGACTACAAATATTGACCCTCCGACACTATCATTTTACAATGATCGTGTAATAGAACAGCAACCTATTGAACAACCAAATGTTAATTTGCAATCTGAGGTGTTAGTGCCTGAAAGTGGCTCAACTTTGCATTAGCTATTAGAGAAACAGACTAATCTCACTGAGACTTTATTGGATTATCAAAATAGAAGTCTGTTGCCCCAGCCTGATGTAACAAAATTTGATGGTAATCCGTTAGATTATAGAACTTTTGTTAAATCTTTTGAAAACAGGATAGAAAAAAGAATTTCAGATGATAGTGATAGATTGTATTATTTGGATCAGCTGACAAAAGGCGAAGCTAATGAGTTAGTGCGTAGTTGCCTGCACATGGATCCAAAAACAGGTTTTGCCAAAGCCAAACAACTTTCACATAAACATTTTGGTGATGAATATAAAATTACTACTGAACATTCTAATAAACTTTTAATGTGGTCCCCTATGAAACCTGAATATGTTGATCAGCTAAAGAAATTCTCCATAGCACTGATTAGTTTCCTAAATGCTATGCATGACATAAATTATTTGACTGAAATGAATCATCCTAAGAATTTATATGAACTTATGGAGAAACTGCCATACAACATGAGAGATAAGTGGCGCAATAAAGTGAAAAGAGTTAAAGATCAAGAAGATAGAGTTGTGAATTTCGAAGACTTTGCTAAATTTGTTGAGTGGGAAGTCGATGCTATGACTGATCCTATTTTTGGTCGAAATGCGAAAGCTTATTCAAACTTTGATAAAAATAAACCAAAATCTAGTAGTTTTACCAAACCAAAACAAAGTTGGCTACTAAAACTGACATAAATGTCAATACTGTAAAGTCAAAAAGATTGTGTTTTCATTGTAAAAAGGACAATCATCTATTAGATAATTGTTATGAATTTATGAAGTTGCCTATGGATAAGCGTAGAGACTATGCCAAGGAAAATTCATTGTGCTTTGGACGCCTTAGCAAAGGCCATCACTCTAAAGTTTGTCGTAAGAGAAAAACATGCCGAAAATGTGATAAGCGTCACCCTACTTGTTTTCACTATGAACATCCAACTACTCAAGTTGTCAATAATGGACTGGTCAATAGAATGAATCAGGAACCAGAAGTTTTGATGGCAATATTGCCTGTAAATGTAAAAGTTAAAAACAGTAGAATGATAAAAACCTATGCATTTTTAGATAATGGCTCAAGCGGATGTTTTTCTTCCATAAATATCAAGAACAAATTAGGCTTGTTTTGAGAAAAAACGTCTTTAATGTTAGGAACAATGCATGGTAAATCTTTAGTTGAGAGTTATGTGATTGAAAATATGATAGTTTCAGACTTAAATAATCATAGCTCTCTTACATTACCCAAAGTGTTTGTACAAGACAGTATTCCTGTGGATAGGTGTAATATTCCAACAAAATCTGTTATCCAAAGATGGGATTACCTGCGAACTCTGGACATTCCTGAACTGTTTAATGACTTAGAGATAGGCTTATTAATAGGGACAAACTGTGTATATGCCCATGAACCATTGAAAGTTATACCTAGTGTAAATGGTGGACCCTATGCCGTGTTAACTAGATTGGGGTGGACAGTTAATGGAGTAGTGAATCCCATTGAACATTCCTTTTCTGTTACTTGTAATAGAATATTCTTGAAGGAAGTGAACTCAACAAAAAGCCATGAAGTGGTGATGAAAGAATCTGTACGGGAAGTTATGGACCCAAAATTACTTTGTCAAATATTTGAAAGGGACTTCAATCACATAGAACTTGCTTCAACTGAATTAGGACCGTCTGTCAATGATAAACATTTTATGAATATAGTTGAGAGTGGTACTGAATTTCAAGATGGACCTTTTTGTGTTCCATTACCTTTCAAAGATGAAAATGTGACAATTCCTAACAATCGAGACCAAGCCGAAAAACGGTTGTTTTATTTAAGACGTAAGCTTTTATATAATGTGAACTATCGATCTGATTACTGTGAATTTATGGACAATCTCATTAATCGTAAATATGCTGTGGAGGTTCCGTTACATTACATAACTAATGATAGCGTGAGGTACATTCCACACCACGGTATGTATCATCCACGCAAGCCAAACAAAATACGTGTAGTCTTTGATTGCAGCGCCAGATTAGACGGAAAGTCCTTAAATGATTACTTACTTCAAGGACCTGACTTGACTAACTCTCTATTTGGTGTATTAGTGCGCTTTCGTGAGAAGCCTGTAGCCTTTATGGCCGATATAGAGGCCATGTTTCATCAGATAAAGGTGCCTTCCCATCACTGTGACTTTCTTAGATTTCTGTGGTGGAAAGACTGTAGATTTGATAGCCAACCAGTTGAATTTAAAATGACTTCACATCCTTTTGGAGCAGTTTCAAGCCCAAGTTGCGCTAATTATGCTCTTAAGAAAACTGCTGACTCTTTTAGTGACAATGAATTTGTCAAGGATACAATTAAAAGGGACTTTTATGTTGATGATTGTCTAAAATCATGCGAAACAGACTTAGAAGCTATAAAACTTGCTACTGAACTTTCTTGTGCTTGTGCTAAAGGTGGATTCAATATAACAAAATTCACAAGCAACAGTAGATCATTGTTAGATAATTTAAGTGAAGATAAACTTGCAAAGGATATTAAGAATATTGACTTAAACTATGACAATCTACCAATTGAACGTGCCT